AGCATCAGATCGAGTAAAAGCGAGAGAGAGTCATAGAATTGGGTTTGGTGTTAGGAAATTCTGAATCCATTTTACACCCATATTATTTTGGACTTTATCATTTTAGACTCATTTACAGAATAAAACTAACCAGTATAACAACTCGGCCCATCAAACATTGGTTAAAAAAATGGATCTATGACCCATTTTGATTTTTGACAAGCCTCCGTAAAATTAGGGCGTTGCACATATAATGCTAAGATTCGTGTTCATTCAAATCACGTCAAATCCTATCCTTTTCGACATTAATCTCGCCTATCATTTGTCACCGCAACACACAATAATGCCAAAGTGGCCCCCTCGTGAAGTTGGTGTCGCAGTGATTTCCAACCACCAATCTTTTTCTCGGGCATTTCTATTCGAGTTACGCAAAAGATAGAGCGGACGTCTCTTTCACGCGTGTCGAGCGAAATTGAATCCTTTACAAAGCGCTCGTCAAATCAGCTCCCTCGTTCGCTAATCGGAAAGGCACCCGCAAATTGGAACTCTCGAACACGAACCCCAGGACGCGACGCACGAAAAACATAGGAAATAGCTAAAAACAAGCATGCTACGACACGATACGCTTCAAGCCAATTTATTTCCCAATAAAAATAATCGGGCCGTCCTGAACACAAATCCGTACTGCTTGTCCCTTGCAAACACGATCTCAAATCATGCGTTAGCGGAATTGATTGGCGATCGAATGGAGTGGGAGATTTCGTGGGGGGATTTCTGTCCACGCAAATTAAACTTCGAGATGGTGCCCAATCCCCGACCTTTGGAAGCGGACCACAAAGGCCTAATCCCAACTTTGCACCAGTTGAAGGCGCCTAGTGGCGGTCGTGCACTCTCAATAATTGCGAAGATAAATAAGGGGTTAAATTGAGGTTACTTTTCGACTTTTTCGCATTAATCATTCACCAAAAGTGGATGACAAATCTTCGGTTGAAGATACGATGATGCTGCCGGCCGTGGCCTATGAGGGGATGAAGGGGGTGCACGACATCGTGGAAACGGCGCCATGTTCTGTGAATGTGGCTGTCTCTTTCACGAAAGCCATGATCCACGCACAGTGCGAAAGGCCACCAACGGAGACATGAATTGGCGATTCATTGAGAAGTCCCTTCGACCAAAGACCAATTTCGAGAAATTCTTTTCGGACTTTTTCAAACTCGGGTGGACCGGAAAAACTAGTGAAAGGCGTTTTTCCAGAGACAAATTACAACGGGCTTGGATCAAGAAAGACGACTTCCCCTTCCCGCGAAAAGGAAACTAGTTTCCCCGATTTCTTATTGCGCATCTAAGTTCCAGCAACGAGTTCTATGCTTGTTTCATATCTCTCGTCAATTGTTTCTCTTTTTTCTTTCATATATCTTGTCTACCGTCTCTTGAATATACTTTACTAATAATGTTCTTCATCTTCTACGTTCCACCAAAAAACGCTACCACAACATAATATTTTACATATATGATTTCATAATTCTTAATTTCTAACCATCGGTGATACAAAAGAGGGGGAGGGACAAGGGGCGGGAATCACAGAGACATGAGGAAAAAAAAAAAGAGGGGAAAAGAGAAAGGGAGAGCGGATGACGTCATGGGTGACGTCACGTTGGCAGCGATGTGGGAGGGGCGTTCGATTGGGCGAAACTGACTACGAGATGCACGGTCGGGGGCCGTGCGTACGACATGCGCTCTCCCCCACGTCTGTCGTTTCCTCTGCAAAGCTGACCGGCTTCTTTTGCCTCCTCCTTCTTTGGCGTTCGTTGCCTAAAGAAAAGGACGTGGAAGTAATGCACATGGACTTCTCTCCGGTGATTCAATCTTTCGTTGTTGGATTGAGATATAACATACTCCTAGCGACACAGCAACAATGAATTGAAAAATACGTTTGGCCATTTGATAAGGAAAATCTCATCCTATCGGGAACTATTGATGTGGATGCCGGTCATCTTACGTGACACACGGTCGTGCTGACTTTGACAATATTGTAATTTAAAAGAAAATCGACTTCTTAAAAAAAATTCTTTCTTTAACTTTTTCCTTCTTTTCCCGCCGATCACCGAGCCTCGGCAACTGGCCACAGGCGAGGGCCGACCTTGCCATCCTCAAGCAAGGTCGAGCCTCGCCGCGATCTGATGAGCGCCTCGCCATATCTGGCAAGCTCGACCTCGCTTGGGCCAGTCAACAAGGCCTAGTGTATCATGTTTTTCTTGCACTTTGTCGTCCAGGCATCTCGAGCACGGCCTAGATGGACTCGGGCCACGGCACCATAGTCCCAGGCCTGGCCTCAATGGATCGAGGACCTGGCCCTGCTGCCAAGGGCCCGAGAACAAGCATTGGGATTTCTGTGCCTAAGCGCAGAATCACATATTTGGAAAATGGTTTTTTATTTTTGTAAAGAGAAATTATTTTTCTGAATTTAAGCTTTGAAAAATATTTTCCGTTGATTCGTTTTTCTAAACGAATCAAATGCCAAAAAATGAGAAAAATATTTTATGTGAAACAAGCAGAGCCTAAGAGATTTCTTGTTTTCCTTCTTAAGCAAAATGCCCCCCCATCCCCTTTTCGACGGGTTTCGCTATGAGGAGTACTTTTATGCTATCATCAAGAGAGGTAATCCGGTGGTAAAAGGGTCACGCTATCTTCTACGAGGCAACAAAAATTCGAGTCGCGTCACGAGGGAATATCCAATCCACCCGTGCCTTCTTGCTATCTCGTCCACAAGGACTTCTCGACTTCTAACACGCTAGAGAAAAAGCTACAATAACGGGCTTGTACATTTATAGGACGACCGAGTACTTATATCTCGGAATCGAACATGTCGTGGCGGCTCTACCAGGGACCGAGCTAGAACAAAAATGCCGAGGGGGGCAACTATCACCCACTAACAAATAAATTCGCAAACTAGCTTACGTAAGTGTATTGTGTCTTCAATATAGACTTTATTTTTCTTCTTGCATAGTATTTAATTTGTTTTATATTCCTGAACAACAAATTTTTGAGAAAAGCATCGATATGAAAAACCCACCAGGGATTGCTGTGCTAGTCTCCCCCAAGGAATAGTCGAGGTGCGTGCAAGCTAGCCCGAACACCTCGGTTACCAAAAAAAAAAAAAAAACCCACCAGAATATGGATTGAACGGTTTTCAGATTTTCAGCATAAGCGAGCGCAAATTTCTCCTCTCTCTTCTTGTACGTAGTTAGTCATGGCCACGGTTTGGAACCGGCCGGCTCCGAACCGTGGCCATGTATGGACCGGCCGGTTCCGAGCTGGTTCCGATCCGCTTCCGATTCCTGCCGGTTCCGGTTATCCTTTTTTTTTTGCCCATTGCCAAGGCAGCTTGCAAAGGCTGCCCTAGCAACGGGCCGCAGCAGGGCCTGTAGACATGCAGCCCTGCTGCAGGTTTTCTGTTTTTTTTTTTAAATTTTTAAATTTTTTTTTTGGAATCAGGCTCGGAACCGCCGGTTCCTGGCCGGTTCCAAAATTGCTGGAACCGGAACCGGGCCCGTAGGCGATGGGCCAGTTCCGATTCCGAACCGCGGGCCCGTTCAACGGGCCGGGTCCGAATTTGACCGGGCCGGTTGGCCACGACTATACGTAGTTATACTCCCCTGCAATAAATTTAATTTTCGAATAAAAATCAAGCCGGAATATAATATTTTTTAAAATTTTCCCGGTAGATTATTAATTAATTTATTCGAATAATTGATCATACAAGACCGCCGGGGCGATGGGTCCATCTGGTTCCGTGCCAAACACGTGGAGAGGAGATCGACCGTACAGCTGGACGCCACCCCCGAACAACCATCAAATCGATCCGACGTTCATTTAAAAGGGGGTCGAAATGAGCAATTCCTCTTAATTCGGGGACTACGATTGCAAATGGCCCTCTGGAAATTATCTCATAACTGAGGTCACGAGCCCCACCAATTTACAACAACAAGCCGCGTGCGTGGCGTCCTCCTATTGGCCCAGCCATTACTATCCGGGACCCGCTTGATGTCCCGAAATAATTACCAAATGTGCCAAATAATTTAACATGTACGCGCCTAATTAGTTGGTCCATCCGAGGATGCACGGCTGGCGTTTGCGTTTGCGTTTGACTTTTTTTTTTTTTTTTTAATCTGAACTTGTAAATTCGGCTGGTTTACTCCACAACTCTTCTTATCTTTTTGTTTTTCGGCGTGAACTTCCTTTTTCTTATCTTTTTGTTTTTCGGCGTGCTTTTATTTCCCTTGCTTCAGATCCCATGTTAAGATGATGGTTTCGTCACGTTAATTTTTTGGGATTGATGCTACAAAAGATCCTAATTTCTAAATCGGTATGCCTGCGCCACAATTACCCCAAATTACTTTTCGTATAGCGAAAAATTATATACTGAAGCACTCTCGACATGTTTCTCCAAATTTATTTTGAAAAACAAATCTCTCACCACTATTCATAACAATCTTTTGAGTTTCTCGATAATCGCCATCAACATTATTTTGCTAACGGGCGCCTCGCGGGCATTTATTAATCAACCAATATCCAAGGAAATTCTACCCAAAAAAAACAAAGGGAGAGGAAATTGCCTTATTTAGATATGAACCCCGTCATTTTCAAATTCGGATTTTCTTCGACGGCAGCCAGCATCAGGTGCACGCGGGGTTTCGATGATTCGTTTCTTATTCGGGCGTTACCGAATCTTCGTGACACGTCCAGAAAATTGGAAGGTAATTAAACTAAGTATTCTTTATATTAAATATGATATATAATGATCTTATTTTTCTAAACGTTTATTATGGTAATACAAGATGGGAAGCTCACAACCGTGTGGCATGCGCGTACGTCTTTTACCGAATAAAACCTTCGCTACTTCTTCCTTCTTCCTCCACCACCACCACCACCACCACCACCATCACGGCATCACCACCACCACATTCTCTCTCTCTCTCTCTCTCTCTCTCTCTCTCTCTCTCTCTCTCTCTCTCTCTCTATATATATATATATATATATATATCTCTCTCTCTCTGTGTCTCAGACGTGGTTGCCCTTCTCTGTGGTCTGCGTGATTCCGGCGTTGGACTCTGTCCAGTTGCTTCTGCAGCGAGAACTCTCCCGGTGTTGTGGCGGCCATCAATCTGGCAAACTTCAGCTTCGCAAGGTACGGTTCTTATACCCCGGAGTCCAATCTCGGCTTCTCGGATTCAAGAATGGATGTTGCGGAATCGAGGGTGTGTTGGGTTTTTGTTTTTTGGGTGGGGAACGTGTCCCGCTGGTTTCTTAAAATTCGACATCGGGCATTCGTCGGTTTTTTCTTGGGGAGTCGCGCTGTCCCGAGCAAGAATCCGAGCCCATGGCCGGTTCTTGACGGTTAAGGGACGGAACTGCTTATGTATGACCCCCTAAGATTCTGGGTCGGCTTCTTTTCTGGAAGCTGTGTTGGTATGGAAAAGATGGATTTGGCTCAATTGCGGACGATCGAGCCCCGCATGCTCTGCTTCTTCTTCTTCTTCTTTTCTTTTGAATTTTGTTCACTGGGTTGTAGAAGTACGTCTTTATGTGCTTTCGTCTGTCTTAATGGTGCCTATGCAGGGAGGGTTCGGGGGAAACATTGAGCGAAGCTTCTGGGGAGAAGCTGCTGCGATTACAACTCTGGCCTACGCTGTAGTGGTGTCTTCTGGAGCCAGAGCAGGGGTCGGTCCTTCGCGTTCTGGGCTTCAGTCCTACGTCGACTTTGCTCGCTTTCTGGTCTGGTGCCTCCCCATTGATTATGGTTAACGTTTGATTGGATCTCGTCTCTGATGTGATCTCGACGAAAGAGCATCCGATTGAAAGAGTTCCGCAGAGGAAAGACGGCGGAGATGTGACCACTGACCATCGTTTGGATAGAGGAAAGAGTTCGTCTATCATTCGGTTAAACTTTGAAGAGGAGGATACACGACTTCACTAGCTTCCCTTTTTAGCTCGGTCGCGCCTTCAAGATATTGTTTGTAGTAGTGGGTGATGGCTAAGTTCAACTGCTTTTCCATGTTCGTGGGGAGGAAGAAGAAGGTGAGACTTTAGCTAATTGTTCATTAAAAATTGATTTGATCTCTGAGGTTTCTTTTGCCTTTCTTAGATATCTGCTAACTTTACCCTTTTGATTCATTGTGTATAGGTTGATGAGGAAACGACCCTCGGCAAGGACAAGGCAGTACAAGTGACCTTTGAACATCCCGTGAAACCATATAAGGCTGATGAGTTGAAATCGACGACTTTCAGTGTGTCAGTTCCTTTCGGTATCGACGAAAAATCTAAATACAATGTTAAGATCGTGAGTGATGAGAGGCCTGTCGTGGTTGATTCAGCTGAGGTAGCATATGAGGGGGAAGACGAGCACGAAGAGCACGTCTCCATCAAGAGGGACTTCTCTGATTCTGATCTCCAATCGCATGAAGCAAATAATTTGGTCGGAGAAGAATATCAGTCAAGCAAGGGAAAGATGATATCTGGTGATCTTTTTGATGCCGATTTGGACACTCCAGAGATTAAATCTGAAAATTTTGTGGAAAGAGATAATGACATGATTCAAGGTGGACATGTTAGTGATCCAGGGATGACGAAGGTAGAGTTCTGGGGTTCGCCGATGCTTAAGCGCTCTTGTTCTGGTCTAGAAACGAGGGAGGTGATGAGAACGCTAGCAGATCAATTGCCTCCATCCAAATCTCAGTCATTCGAAGAGCTGCAGGATTTATCGCGCGGCATGAGGGAGGATATTAATCCAGGTAGCCCAGTGTCGGTGATGACACGCTTCAGTGCTGATAAAGTGATGTTGAAAAAGCATTCGTCTAGCCAGGTTCTTCCTTCGAGAAGTAGGAGATTGTGGTGGAAGTTGTTCCTCTGGAGCCACAGAAACATGCAAAAGCCTCAGAATACAAAACCAAAGCCAATTCCTGCTTTGACCACTATCAACCAGCAAGGAGGTTACTCTTCCGACACTATTGAGCCTAACAGGGCATTCAAGTTTGGCAAGATGGAATCACCAGGATCATTCACAGGGGAATACATAAACCAAGTTGAATATGATGATAAGAACGAGAAAAAGGGCTGGGATGGTTTCAGAGGCTCTTCTGGCCTATGGCCTCAGAACCAATGGGTCGCCTTCCCTGCAGAATCTTCATCATTCAAAAGAGTAGATGACTGGGTGAAGGATCTATGCATCGATCCCTCCATTGCGGTTGATGATGCTGAGAACAGTGATAAGGCTATCATTTACCCGCCTTCGCCCGAGAGTATCAGATCTCCGACAAGGAGCGCCATGCCATTGCATAAGCGTCAGGATATTAATCTCTCTGAAGAGATGCTGCACGCGAATAGCGTCATCCAGACTCTCAATTCCTCCTCCACCGTGGCTCACATATCCGGAATGGGGTTGAGAGTCATTCCCACCATGTCTCTTTTCTCCAGTCTCAAATCCGTCAACTTATCGGGCAACTGCATAGGTAAGATGTCTATTAAGAACGACCTTTTCCAGAGATAGCATCTATGTGCTTATCCAGTGATTATCTCTTTTGCAGTTCGCATTCCCCCCGGTTCGCTGCCCAAGGGGCTTCATGTACTCGACTTATCGAGAAATAAAATCAATGCCATTGAAGGGCTTAGGGAACTGACCAGATTGCATATACTTGACCTCAGCTACAACCGTATCTCTCGAATTGGACATGGTAATTAGCTTTGCCCTTTGCTCATGTGATACAATGAAAGAGTTATCCAATCTTTTAAAACTCTTGATGACAACGCTTGGTTGACATGACTCTAATTGGAATTTGAATTTCCATCGGTTGCTAGGGCTCTCGAACTGTACGCTTGTCAAGGAGCTCTATCTCGCCGGGAACAAGATCAGCGATGTCGAGGGTCTTCACAGGCTGTTGAAGTTAACGGTCTTGGACCTCAGTTTCAACAAAATAACAACCACAAAAGCTCTCGGTCAGCTCGTGGCTAACTACAATTCATTGCAAGCTCTGAACCTCTTGGGAAATCCAATTCACAGCAACATCAGCAATGATCAACTCCGCAAGGCGGTTTGTAGTCTCCTTCCGAAGCTTGTCTATCTCAACAAGCAGCCCATTAAGCAACAGAGGGCGCGAGATGTACTCACTGATAGCGTAGCAAAAGCTGCACTGGGGGGCAGTAGCCGGGGTTCATATAGGAAAGCGGCAAAGAGATCGAGCCAGGGTGGATCGCTCTCCTCCAGAGTCAACAAGAGCAGCGCCGGTGCCGGGCATAAGAGCAAGAGCAAGTCAAAGAGCCATTCTCGCCACCATTCGGCTCTCAAAAATGCATGATCTGCACTCGTTTCAACCTCACATTGATCATTTCCCTCTCTGAGGTAGATTGACTTTTGTTTCTGAAACTGAGCTTTCGAGGTCGCCATGTTCTCGAATTGCTGCCCTGGTTCAAGAAAAACTCGTTCTGGCTAACCTTGCGCTCGAATGTTCCGGCTGTCTGTTTCGGCCACCCTTTAGTTATTGTCGGAGACTGATTTCTCCGGTCTTTTATGTCGATGGTGATTGATGTTTATCCTAGTTTTTTGGAATGTCAAATGTAATTTTGGTACTTCCTTGCGTCGAGAATAATAACATGAGGTTCGGTACAATTACAGTGTATGGCGTCGTTTAGTATGCCAATTTTTGTATGCATTGCTCGGTTGAAAAGACATGATTTTTACTAGATGTGACCCTGGAACGTTGATGCGTACATTGTTTCTGGTCATTCAAAGACTTGCACATCATAACCCATATATTTCAAAGGGAATCAACAACGTAAAAAACAAATTAAAGAAGAAGAAGTTGAAATGGAAAATGAAGAACCAAAAGAGAAGAACATCCGACCTGCCGGATTCGAACCAGCGACCTAAGGATAAGCTGTGGATCACACTACAGTCCTCCGCTCTACCAACTGAGCTAAGGTCGGATTTGTTGATCGATTGACGCTATAATTTAATATAATGTCAAATATAACTTAAAATTCTCATTCGGTTCCGGAGCACCATTTCGTAGCTGAACCGGACGATCTGACCTCCTGTCAATAGGGACAAGGACCAACGATGGTGTGGAAAATCCGAGTAAGAAAGCCTTTTGATTTATGTTGCAAAACTCTGGAATATGAGGAGAACAGGGGGGAAAAGAGAAAACGAAAGATGGTTTCTCATTCTCAGCTATCTCTCGTTCCTTACAGTGAAATCCCGACACCATGGAAGAGCGCATTATTTGGAAACTCTAAAGAGCAATCAGATTAGAGCCTCGCTAATCGATCATGCCTTGATCGAATCGCGTTCTACGGCTTGAGTCGCATCGGGTGATCAAAAGGGAAAATGTAGATCTAATTCCATCGTATGGAGGCTCATAACAACGGACCGGAAGAAAAGGGAAGAAGGCAAATTTGGAAAAGGAACTTCTTCCCTTCGAATCGGGGAAGAAAAAGAAAGGGAGTGGATTGGGGTGAGAGAGGCTCGAACTCTCGACCTCAGGATAACTCAGAAGCTATGAGACCTACGCGCTAGCCAACTGCGCCACCACCCCGCTCTTGTTGTCTTGTTCTGCAATAAAAAAGAAGTAGATGTAGACCCTCTATCCACACATTTTTCGCACACAACAACGTCGTCATCCTTACGTGACACTCGTAAGATGATGACGTGGCTTTTGCAGAATCAGCAAAGCCCCTAAGGTGCCTCGGTGCCTCTTCCATCTCAACCGTCGATCCGCGATAGGCAGGTTAAGATTTCCCGAGGCGCGTGGGATCTCGTCCTGAGCGGGGGTCGCTGCCTGTCTCCTGTTCAACTATCTCCTCGGGTTAATCGCGCATGACGAGGTGTTATCATTCTTGGGAATGCTTGTCGACTACGATTCCAAAGACCCGTGCGTTCCACATATGAGCTACGATGCTGGGAAAAGCTACATACATGGTAATGAAAGGTGGGGACTTCTGGGCACCGTTTCTCTTTCCCATTTCGCGCATGTGGTCCTTGGAAGAAAAAACATAACAATGAGTCATTCGTTCGTTCGTTCATTCATTGGAGTGGAAGGCACGTCATTATTTGGTGGCCTAGAGTTATAAGCCATTTTCGCTATGAACTTTTACTACATCCAATTTGACAATGGTTTAGCGACCAACGTCGAATGTGGCGAAGTCCCGATGACCCTTGTCATTAGTTGGTGGCTTAGAGTTAAGCGAATCGCGCTGCGCGCCATGTGTTTATCTCGCTTTAAAGTACAGATTATCGCGTAAGATCACACCACAGATGAAATGAATCGAACCCAACATCTTTCCTCGGTTTTCATGCGCGAAAGATTGCTCGAAAGAATGACCGAGAAAGCGATCAAAGCCAATTTGGTGGCAGCAAGCACAAGGAAACTGCGAGAAAGCGAAAGCTAAAAACTCTAATCATCACGTCAACAACGAATATCATGATCTTCCTCACGAGGAAGAAGGAAGGACATAAGGAAAAAAAGAAAAGGGGGGCCGAAGCGCATGCACGGAGGCAGGCATCCGACTACCGAAAGTAGGTGGAGTCTTGAGGAACGGACACGAGAGAGAGAGAGAGAGATATCATATCTCCTTCTGTATGTAGTAGCAGGGGGGGAGAAAAAGCACAAGTTGACGACGACCCAGAAGAAGGTCTTTCTGCAAGCAAGGCAGCTTTTAAAAATGGGGGACGATAAAGGGAGGAACACACACGCTGGCTGGCGTGGACATTGGTTGGTGGGGTTTCTGCAGTGGTGGATGGATAATAAGAGATAGTGGGGTTGGTCAGTCAGTCCTAGTGGTGGTGCCCCTGCCAAACCAAAACAGAGAGAGAGAGAGAGAGAGAGAGAGAGAGAGAGAGAGAGAGAGAGAGAGAGAGAGAGAGAGAGAGAGAGAGAGATGTGTGTGTGTGTAGTGTAATGTAATGCAATGATATGTTTTATGTTGTGAAGGTTGGAGTGTGCGTTGTTGCAGTGAAAAGGAGGAAGGGGGAGAAGATGGAAAGACAGCTCATAGTTCGAGGGCAAGCGATACGACCCCCCACGTGGAAGACGACTGAAATCTCCTGCAACTTCACGGACTCGCACATTGCCCGTGAATATGAAAACCATTCGAGGGAGAGAGAGGGACAGAGAGAGAGAGAGAGAGAGTCGTCCTTCATAGCTGTCTCTCGTCGTCCCTAACGCTGGCTGGCAGCTACCACCGAGCTTGCCCACCACTCTTTCCATGCAGATTCTTTTTAGAGCCAATAGACAGAACGTTAGGGGAAGGTTATTGCTAAATGAAAGTGTATTTGAACCGTTAATCATGTGGGTGCAGGCGTTACCGATGATTTTCACGCATCTGATCGACACGGTTTATAATTCATGCAATGTTCTTTTCGTAAAATTTCCACGAGCTCGAGGCGTTAATTTGGCTTGAATGTTAAGTTCGAGCTAAGCCACGTAATTGGGAAAAGCGATGCGAGTACAAGAATCTAATGTCTAATTGTTAAGTGAGGAGTCCCTCTCGGAGCATTTCTTGACAAAGTCCAATACATAAAGTACAGATAAGCATTTAGTCCCGCGTCGCCGAGTTATTTGAGTGTGGATGACAAGTCGAGTTGCGTATATCCCCACGAAATTTTCGAAAAGAGAGTACTCAGAGAATCTATGTTTTACGCTACTTTTTTTTTTGCTCCCGATTCGAGAATTTACATGAAAAATATCGTAAGGATGAAAACGTAACTACGACAAAATCTATTCGATATTTGACCTAGCGACATAAGTTTTAAGTACAAAAAGGCACTATACTATTTTAGTTGGATCAACAAGGACTATGGGACTTGTAACTATTGTTTTAATATTCTTGCTCATTGCACGTCACACGGTAATGGATGCAGATGTCCAGAAAATAAAGGTACACGACACGGGATTAAATGCTGTTACTTCATGTGATTTTTCTCGTGAATTGAGTTTGATCATGTTAGACACTATTAGGGAAAAGTGTCAAAAAAAAATTCTAAACCAATTGTAATTGTACCAATCCAATTCTAAACCTTTCGATTGTGTCAATATTTTTTTTTTTGGGTCTGTGATTGTGCCAATATAATTATAATATTTTTCACGTTTTGTCAATTGAGTTCATCTTGCCAATTTTGACAAGAAATCGCTAACATGGATGCCGGTCATCCTAAGTGGCACAACCGACGTTGACGTGAATGCTTTTAAATAATATTTTTAAATATTGTATAATTTTGTCTAATTTTGTCTAATTTTTTCTTTCTTTTTTTCATTGCATTATGGCCGGTGGATGAGGGCCAGTAAGCCCTCACCAGCTGCCAGTGAGGGTCGCGGCCCTTTGCCCAGGCCCTCGCCAGATTTGGGCAACGGCCGCCTCGCCTAGAGCCAGCAGGACTTGGTTGAGGCCTTTGCAGCCCCGCCAGCCGCGAGCGAGGGTTGCCAATCAAAATGGAAGAGAAAAAAGAAGAAAGAAAAAAGACAAAAAAAAATTAAAAAAATTGGCCGTAAGGACTCAATTGGCAAATTGTGAAAATATTTAGGACTAAAGTAGCACAATTGAAAAGTTCAGGACTGAAATGGCACAAGTACAATATGTTTAGAATTTTTTTTGGTACTTTTTCCATGCCTTCTCTAATATGCCCGTGAAGCGAATACGATGTACACGAAAAGTGCATACGGTACGTACTTCAATACCCAATTCGATTGTAAATCAAGCTCGGTACATCAAACATGATATGATTATCTACTATTGGTGCTGGCCCTACTAGTCGCATCGAAAGAGTCCCTTTCCAAACCTTTTTTATTCTTAGAAAGCCATTGTCTTTGATCTCTAAATAAACCAACCTTCAAAACAAATTGTTGAGAAAGAAAAGTAACTGCAAGATCACGTATCAAGATAAGTAGACCAGTGTATCCCGATTTGATATACTATACAAGGCGTCTACATCAAAGGTATCTTTTTAGGGGTCAGATGATTTATCAAAACACAACAGGATTCAATTATGAATGACCAACTTTTGACTATAATCAACAAACTTAGTTGATGGAGTAGGGTTTGGTCGGCTATGGACAGAACTATCGGCAAGAGGAAAATGCCGGATCAAATTTTGGATATCGATGACCAAGCGTTGCTATTGATATGCGGTGGTGATTAGTTGACGATTGACTCCAATGTTGGTAAGTAACCACTATATCGATGATCAAGTGTTATTATGCAAAGACGATTGCTTAACGATTATCTAATAATCATGAATACTAGTGACTAAGTACCGGTATCGATATACGATGGCGATTAGTCGATAACGGTTTAACCACACGATTAATATTTAAGATAAGAAATTGGTTTGGATAAGGACTATGAGGAATGAAGTCTGAGATTGTGGCAAGGAAGTTACGCTCAAAGATTCAAGTAATAACAGTTCATAAATGGAGTTATGCAGGCTGAAATGTTGGCAAGGAAGTTACACCCGAAGATTCAAATAATAACCGTTCATAAGCGATTATCAATTATGTTAGGCTATAAATACCCAAGGTTTATTCATGTAAATGCTCTACAATCAATCAATCAAGGAACTCAATGTTCTAGCAATATTTTTATCTTTACTTTTCCATAATTTATCTTCTCCGCAATTTAAATATCTTTCCATTCCCGTACTTTAATCATAGTTTTAAATCTAAATTCCGGCGTCATATCTATCTATCATCTCACTTTGTCGTCAATTAAATTCCAACAATGTGTTAATTACTTCATCATCGATTAAATTCTGATAAAGCACATCTGTTCCTTGTGATTTATTGAGACTCATGTCCGAAATCGCCACAGAACTTGTCTTCTCGATATTTGGTAAAATCCAATTTTGGCGAAACATACTTCCTCTCTTTAAAATCGACGTCACGGTTCCTTGCTAAATTTGAACCATGATTAATGGTTAAGCTGCCAATTGCTGAAACCGCACATCTGCTTTGTCATCTCAATACATTGCAGCCATCTCTACTGTTTGATGATCGGGCACTCGGCACGACTGGAAATACCTTGGGCATCTCCTCAACCATCCACCAAGATTGTTAGCACCATCGGAATGGGAGTGTAAGGCACACCACATGCTGATCTAGTGTGGGTATCTGAATTGACATCAATAGGTTGAGGGTTACTCGTGAGGCCTGCTTACTGAGAAGGCGGAGCTCAAACCGGCATCGGAGCCTACCCCTTGCTTGAATCTTGCCGGTCCTTGAGCGAGTCGGTTTGTTGCCTCACCATCACGATTCACCTCCTCGAACTTCTCTGGAGTGTCCATCTATCATTGCCCCGAAACCTAAGCTCTGAGGATCTCGCTCGCCCGTCGATCTCCTCTAGTCCAGTCCCATCGGCCACATTAGTCGACTTTCGTTCAGGGTTGCGCCTTTCTTGAGGTGAACTCACATGCTTGTGACGATTGGATGATGAATGACCAATCAGGGCTCACCCTGCAACCTGGATTGGAAAGAAAACATGGCCTAAAAAATTAAAAGGTGAGGAAAAGATAAACAAAGACCAGCCTTCATTTTCCAATTAAGAATGCGTGGCTGAGTACTGACATCAAGCTTCTGGACGGCTAATGGACAGCATAGTGGCCAGCCATCAGTCCACAATCTAAGAATAATCTAATAACACACAGTGCTTACCTTACCTAAGAAACAGCTTTTCTTGTTCTGGGTGAATGATCTCTCGGGTTCTTGGACTCTGTTCGGTTCGGTAGTTTTGTTTTCATCGCAACCGCCCATTTCACATGATCTCCCATCACCTTTTCTAGGGTTTCGCTTCTTTGCCTAGGATGATCTGGTTTTTTTATGAGACACCTCGAACTGTCTCATTCGATCTCCATTTGTCGTTTGGAAGTTCGCAAATAACAGCTTACGCATGTAAACTTCGCAGAGGTCGGTAATACCATGGGGGTCATGTGGGGATGTTGGATTGATCCTCGAGGGAGTTGGCCGGATATTCTTGCCTGCCCCTATGAAACCCTAGAATAAATAAAACATTCAAGACCGGTCAAAACTAGGAGTAAGTATTCTATTTGGGTCAAAGAAGCATCAGAATATGTTAGGGTATGAGCTGAGCTGTGTTGTTGCTATGCGCCTAAGCTGTTCCAAAGAAATGCCAGAGAGAAAGGCAAAAGCGAGGGACAGGTTAAGATAAAAAGAGGAGAGCAAGCATTGGAAGCAGGTCATAAGCCTCTTTGTCCTAGGAAATGGGTCATTTGACAATGTATAAATTGTGCCTTAAAATGGTCTTTTTTTATACCTTGGTAGTTAAATCGTTCATATCTCATGTATATATTCACATATATGGTGATAAATAGAATGAAAGTAAGGATCCCCTTTTGTTAAGGCAATTGCTTCCTTCTTCTCATTCTCGAAATATCCTAATCATATGACATAGAGATATTACAGATAATAAAAATTCATGATTATGGTAAGATTTTTCCGGGGCATGATCTTTATCAACAAGAAGGTTTGCCTTAATAATGTTTCCCTAACTAGCATAAGGCACGAGATCAAACCCAACATGGCACCTAACCTATACGTCCGAAACTAGATTAGTAATTCGACGAGACTAAGTTATATGTTGGACGCAAAACCTTGATGGGGTCATTAACTTTCCTTGAGGTTGTGCACATTACTGTCGCCGCCCCCAACATCATACCTACGCATATTTATGTTCACTTTGCAATTATGTGACAGCTCGAGGGGGCAACGGAAAGCGAGAGTTCCTTCATGGATGCACTAGATGAGACGCGAAAATCATGATTTAAATGCGAACTATCAGCGTTGGATGAGTGGATTATTCAATTTGAGGAAAAACCCTAGATCACAACTGACACCAAGAACGCGGTTACGCAGGGAGACAACGTCTTCGCTCCAATCTATCCCTCTCGATCGCATCGAGAGGAAAATGATCAATCATTTGACTTTGCAGGCCATCTCGAGTGGTAGTAATCTGTGGCATTGTGCTGGAAATGAAGATCTATTATTGGCTGTCGAGGAATGGAAACCTTCATAAATCATCATGATCAATCTCTAAGATTCGTGGCTTATCTATCTGTAACGGGTCCCGCAGAGACAGGAAGCAAGTTTTGCTGGTTAGAGATCGAGGTTAAAGGCAAAAAAGTTAACCATGAGCAATGTTGTTCTCTGATTGAGTAAAGAGAGGGTAAATTACTGTCTTGATTAACGATGCCATCGCTCGCTTTCGGGTGTCATTATTCACTTTTAATGTGCGTATTATCATCAAGTCACCAGGCGGTAATAATTACCGGCCAACGACGCGAGGTGTTACCTCGGATCAAGACGGTACAGAAATAACAAGTGCTTGTGAAAAGAATAAAAAGGCCTAACATTTCTAGCTGAATGGCTAGTTATAACGGTATGATACCGGTCTGAATAACGTTTGACGGGAAATTTCGTATGTATCGGGTAGAATCAATCGTACTATGGAAATCATGCCGAAAGTCCTGCGAAGCCCGCCGTCGCGATCCCTGCGGTCAATCTGATTTACCAAGAGTCGATAAGTGAGAGAACTTTCACCTCCCAAGCAAGATGAAGGTGAAAAAGGAAGCCATGTGACATGGCAAGAGAAAGGGTTTGATCAAAAGTGCTTGATTACTTAATTAAGCTAAGACGAAGGAGGGAGGGAGGGGGAGGGGCAAAGCCCAGACGACAACCGAGAGAAACAACACAAATGACCAACCCAGAGAGGGTCAAAACATTGGAGCAAAAAATGACTTGAATCTTGATTGATTGGAGGATGGGTGTGTAAATTAATGCATCAGACAGTGAGGCCTCTCTCTCTCTCAAAAGTGCCTCCTCACACGAGCAGCTGTCATTCCCACATATACAAACCCCACCCCCTCCCTCTCACCTCAGCTCAGCCAGCAAATTAGCGCTTGCACCTGTCGGATCTCTCCCTCTCTCTCTCTCTCTCTCTCTCTCTCTCTCTCTCTCTCTCTCTACAACACCAGGTGGTCTTTGTTCTTTTAACTGACCTACTTCTTGTTTAGTTTCAAGAACAGCAACGATCGCAGACCAACCCAAATGGTACCTTAATGAGCTGAATGGAGGGGACGGCGGTCGAGTTCATGTCATGTGCTGTGGGTGGTGATGAGGCGCCGTGGGGCGAAACGAGGCGGAAGAGAAGACATCGCTACTGAAAGAGAAAGGAACACGCTGCGCGCACACAACCCTACTTGAAGCTGAAGCTCCTCTTTGATGACATTCGCACTGCAATGGCCTACCCACCCCACTACCGATCGCAGTTCGGCGACACCACGTTGACCAAGGTGTTCGTCGGAGGCCTGGCATGGGAGACCCCGACCGAGGATATGCGCCGCTACTTCGAGCAGTTCGGGGAGATCCTCGAGGCCGTCATCATCACCGATAAGAACACCGGCAAGTCGAAAGGCTATGGATTTGTAAGTGCCGGTTTTTTTCCCTATTTCCGTCGCGGCGCGCGTATCTTTTTCGTCCGATGTCTTGGCCGTAGAAAACTGATGGGAGTACTTTTATGCCTTTTCTTCCGCACGGGAAAAACAATTTAAGGTGACATTTCGTGACCCGGAATCAGCGAGAAGAGCTTGTGTTGAACCGAACCCGGTTATAGATGGAAGAAGGGCAAACTGCAACATTGCTTCCATGGGCAGACCTCGACCTTCGCCGCCGCGAGGTTCATTACAATTTACGCATTACAACGCCAATTGCCTGTCGTTTGATATCGAAACTCGCGAGATTTTTTAACGGGTCCACTGATTGCGCGCATCCAAAGATAAACATGTGATGTTTGCGATGAAGAATGCCTTTCATTGTCAACTCTTTATCAAGAAAGTTACAACATGTTGTGGACCACTGCAGGGAGAGCACAAGGTGGCAATTACCCCTACCAAGGAGGAGCATTGCCGACAGCCAGCGGCACTGTGCCTTACAGCGGACGAGCGGCGTCGGTCCCAACGCCGCCGCCGCCGCCGCCGCCGTTCGTTTATCCGCCTTACGGGTCAGCTCTCTCTCATCAATCAATCTCCATCTCCATCTGCATAATTTATCTATCTGCACATGCATTTACTTTTCGTGGTTAAAAGAAGGGTCGTTTGCTTTTCTGGGTACTCGTTATAGCCAGCGGTTGGCCATACATCCTGAGAGAAAATGGTCCATACCATACAATTACAGCACCAGACACACTATGCACCGTTCTCAATGCCCGGTCTTGTGTGTGTGTGTGTCCATATGTTTGATGTTTTTTAATTTAACGTGGATATAATGAACACTACATTCGCAGTGTACAGTTGTTGTCAGCATTGAAACAATCGGTCAAAGTTGACCGGGCATTGTAATTGTAACTACTGAGAGAGAGAGAGAGAGAGAGGGTTTACTTCACATGTGCAACCCCTCATGAAAAATCCAGCCACTAAAGAGTTCATTATTTAGTGTTTACTTCTCCTTTTCTTTTTGTTCGTTTTTTTTTATTAATTATGCTTGGAGTGAATTAAGATTAGGTTGCGAGATTGATTTACATAATTAATGTCGTAATATAGTTCCAAGGGAAAAAAAATAGAGTGGGGTCAATTTGTGGTTTGCCTGGAATATGGGATCTAGATTGGGTCCCATAAAAAATCCCTAGGCCCCGAGGCAAACGACATATGTTTCTACCCGAATTTTCGAGAATATGATTGGTTCTAACCACGTCGTTTGTTCATGAGAAATTTACATAACATTCTTGTCATGTAAGTTGAATTAGAGAAAGCATTCCTCTTAGTTACTTTTGTGTGGGATGGCTTGTCATCGATGCACCAAGTGTAATAACCATGGCAGAACACATACATGTGGAAACAAGCTGAAAAAGAGTTGTGGTGCAGACTGGAATTTACCGAAGTTTTTCATGTTTGGATTGACTTGGAACTGATAGGATGAGCTGGGGACAACTGAGCTTGCAAATTAATTAAAACCAGGAAAGTGACGTTTGGAAGTCTTCAACATTTTTAGATGGTCGGAATAGTCTATCGGTTGAGCACAAAAAAAAAAAAAAAAAAAGAATTGCCAAAAGAGTCTTGTTAACGAGTGTTTGGGGAGTATTAGTTCGACATAGTTGATTTGGAAGGAATTTCGTCACCGATGCTTTGAGGGTATTTGGTAAACATCCGAAAAGAACAAAATTTGTCATTTACGAAAGCACTATTTTTCTCGTGTTATACACACTTAAAGCAATCAAGGAAAAGAAAATATTTCTTTGTCAAATCTTATTGTGTGATTTTAGAGTACTATTAACAAGACCTATTTTGGAATGTCGCACTCTGATATAGTAATTACACGTAACACTAGAAATGCATTAGGACTGGAGGCATTTTCTCACATAGAGACCTCCACAAGCATTTTGAGACGCTTGTTAACGAAATCCTTGTCGAACAAGAGTCCAAGTCTCGGGTAGCCATGGCTTTGAGCTTAAGCACCTCTCCAGCCTTCCCAAAGTAGATCTACTTTTGCCCAAACTCTAGTCCCGCTTCCACTGTACAAAGCGCAAACGGCCATGTACCGTGTTGCAGGACAACCGTCTGAAAAGAAGTACCGTGTTCTTCTTCTTTTGTTCCCTGTCCTTACTGATCACAAAGCACTAGTAGTGCTCCCGGAGCACCAAAGAGGGCGAATGACCATTCTCGACAGTTACCATTGAACTTTCGCTTCCATCATCACTGTCCCTTTGTCCCTTGAACTCGCTAGCTTCGCACTGAACAGTTCTTTCGAACATGGTACGACCCAAAACTCCACAGAAGCTGTGAGAGCTAAAAGTTAGTCTCGTGCAATGTCATCACCCAGAGATCGCACGAATTGTGGTAATTCATGCTTAGTTATAATCTCTTTTCCTCCTGATGCTTCAGGTACTCGACTTACCCTCCTGAATATGGATACCACCAAGTGAGTCTCCCTCTCTCTCTCTCTCTCAATCTCAGTGTTCATTAAGTTGGATTCGTGAAAGGATTTACGGGTTAAAAACATGTGGTGATCGTTTGGTTAAATTGATTTGGGTGGGGGCAGGCGATGTACAATCCGGTTCAGCAGCAGCAGCAGCAGCAGCAGTACTATCAGCAGATGTACGGGGGGGCGTCGGCCTCGACATCCGCCATGGGAGGTGTCTCCCCGTATTACTACGGCTATTCGCTGCAGACCGGGAGGGGGGCTTACTCTGCGGCCCACCAGGCGCACCGCATCCCCGGACCCTCTTACGTCTACTATCCTGCGCAGGCGGAGGGCCCCCTCTCCCACTTCCACCCTCCTCCCCCTCCCACTCTCCAACCTCTCAGGCTCCCCTTCACTTCTCCCGCAGCAGCAGGTGATCTTCTCCTTCTCCTTCTTCTTGTTTGTGGGTTATAATTTTCTTTTCCGTGTTCATTTTCGTGAACTGTTTAGAACATGGCTCGAGTTTTTCCCTCTTCTTGTTTTCGTGAGTGGCCAAGATTACATGACAAAGATAATTTGGTTGGCAATTGGAATATGTACGCGACCGCGTGGGCAGTCGGGGCCAGGTGGGCGAGACCCACAAAAGGCCATGTGAATGAGCTGTCAAAGCTTCTGCGGGTATGACCCATCACATGATTTCGAGGGTCAATTCGGGAATGCACGGCAGGAATGGGGAGGAGGGAAGAAGAAGATCTTCCGATGCGGATCTGCATTGCCATCGTGCTTTCCATATCATCACTGCCTGTCGAGCCTGAGCAAAATGCAGTCAAGTCTCCATCCTCGGGACACTGTTTTCGGCCATCGGGGAACCACTCACCGCCGTGAAAAATCTTCTCGTTGAAGCGTGAATAGCAGCATTGCAGGGATCGCGAAAAAAAAACGGGTTTGCGTGTGTAGCGTCAGGATCTGGCCGCATGCGCAGTTAAATTCGATGCATGATCAGTTCTTGATGTGTCTAGGCACTAAGATAGAACTCAACCCCCTTCTTTCTGACTCACGAGGTGTTCTTTATCCGTGGCGACAGATACCCACGACGCACAGGCCTCGACTGCCACGGAAACATCATCATCACCACCACCACCCTCAGGGTTCGCCACTTCTCAAAGCTCCGACAACCTAAAGAAACACCATTCGAGCGCATCAAACTGATGGTCCCCATTGTTCCTCCGATGCTCCTCCTGTTCCACAACGAGACATTCTGTGTACATGTTGGCTTCCCTGTTTTTTTTTTTTCACCCCCGGCCTAGAGAACGCAGCAGCAGCAGCAGGTGGATGATCGTGACGCTGCTGCGCGAAGAGAGAGATGGCGAGATGCGGGAGGAGCAGAGGAGAAGACTAATCAACACCTGATTTCATTATTTTTCATTTCATTTTTTTTTTTGGCCCTTTCTTTTCTCTTTTTCCTTTTATCTCTCTCTTTGATAGAATAATTCATTCATTTTTCTCCGCGCTCATGTCCAAACGTAATTCATTTATCTATTGTTGAAGCTTTATTAATATCTTTTAAAGAAAAGGTACTTGACAAGAAGGGGATTTTTTTTTATTCTCTCTCTCTCTCTTCCAATAAAGAATTGCCATAACATTTAATGATGATTTTTCTATGGTTTTTTTTATCCACAGTTTATGCTTAGGAGTTGAGCTTCGAAAATCAAAATGTATATTTGTGTTTAGGGACGATCGATTTCAGGGTGGGCCAGTTCCCAATTTGTGGAACCAGGAACGGGCCCACCTGGTCCTGGAATAAGCCCCTTCTATCTTTTTTTTTTTTTTTTTTTGAATTTTGAAAGCAAATTTGATCTACAAGAGCCAGAGCACTGTACCCACTACCCAATAACAATCGGAGCATTGCTTGTCGCAGCTACAACAAGCAATGCACATTGTACAACTAGCTAATTAACTCGGGAACAACACGGCAATTTTAACTCTATAGATCCTAGTTGTGATGAAAAGTGAAAACCACATGCTTACTTGTCGAGCTACTGAAATTGACGATTCAGAGACTCTCGGGAGAGATAAACAGAGTCGTGACTGAGAGAGGCGAGAGGGAGGCGTCGACGGTCGAGCAAGAGGGTGGCGTAGAGGAGAGGTCGCGAGGCATGAATCGTGATAGAGACAGGCGAGAGGGAGGCGTTGACGGTTGAGCGAGGGGGTGCCGTTCAGGCGAGGCTGCGAGACTGTGAGTTATGACTTAGAGAGGCATCATGTGATTGAGAGAGTGTGCAAATGAGAGGGAAAAGCTATTTGTTAGGATTTTTGTGAAGTTGTGAACAAGAGGCGTGAGTTTGTGAATGAGAGAAAGGGAAAATCTATCAGATTAGGGTTTATAGGAATTTAAAAAAAAATCGATCCGGTCCGATCCGGGTGGGTCCACATTGGAAACTAGATCGATTTTCACCGATCTCAATTTTATGGAACCGGACGTGGTTCAGTTCAATTTAGGCGATTTCTGATTTGGGTGGTTCCTTTTGCTCAATCTTATAGGTGTTTTTTTTTTTTTTTTCCAAGTGAAATTATGGTTCGATCCGTACCGATCTGATGTTTGGTTGGGCTAGCGGGGATTAGGGTCCAATATGGAATATGAGGTGAAAATGAAGAGCAATTAATCTTCTTACCGTGAGAGGTCACCACTCATCTATCATTGAAATTGTGTCATGTGATTAACTGGCCCAATCGAAAGAAAATCCTAACCTTTCACTCCCCACCCCCCAAATTGTCCCCAATTAGGATCCAATCGGTCACGTCAATCACGTTCATATCACATTCTAGGCACAACGCACCGACATGTGGTTCTAATCAAACTGCCTATGACTTCTCTACCGATCAAATATCCAATCGGCGCTATCAGCGACGTTATTTCGCCGTCAAAATCATGCACTGCATACCTCTAAAAAATTCGGTACCAAAACTTACCCCATCTACACTCTAAACGACTCCTATCACGTTAAGTCATCATGTTTACTTGAACTTAGCCTCAGTAGTACAATATGTAAGTTTATGTATCCTTTAATCATATGTTCCAAATGATCATTTGACTTGAACAATGGGAAAGTTGCCTAAAGTCTACCTATGGAGCTCGCCAGGATCTTAGTCCACGGCAGCCTTCAGCCGTGGGCCTGCAGTGGCGGGGAGCCTCCAAAAGCCGAGCGCCCTTCTTTGCACGAGCTGATGATCTCCTTTGTCCACCCAGTCCAGATTGGTCTTCTCTTGTTCCTGCGCTGCAAATCACAGAATTTTATAAGACTGTTTCGCCGGTTTTTACTCCGTCGAAAATCTTTCACCGAACGCTGCGTTTCAGATTTTATTAAGGGAGACCAGGGTCCTGAATCAAGCTTGGACAGAGAATGTCAAATGCGTTTATTAATCCCAATTTAGATCTTACACCCTGACTTGATACTAGACCTGTTAAACGGGTGGGTCGGGTCGGGTTCGGGTCGGGTCATAAATGGTCCGACCCAAATTGACCCATTAACCCGTTTATGACCCATTTTATTCATAGTGTAAATATCTCGATCCATACCCGATCCGACCCATACCCAACCCATATCTGACTCGACCCATATTGCTAAAACATTTTTATATTTAACCTAATCTAGGAATACTTGTTTCTTATGATTTTTTTTAAAAAATTATACTGCTAAAATATTTTATGCAATACAAAGCTAGTGAAAAAAATTTATAATTTTTTTTAAAATTGAGGTTCTGTTTGTTTTACGAAAAATGCGACATTTCTAAAAAATATTTTCCATAAAGTCATTATCCAAGGTTATTTTTTAAATCGAATTTTTAATTATTTTTATTTTTCTTCTTATTTTTATTTTTTTCTTTTTCCTTTGTTTTTGGCCGATCGCCGGCCGCCGTGGCCGGCGACCGACCACAGGCGAGGACGAGCTCGCCGGCCTCAGGCGAGCTCGAGCTCGCCGAATCTGGCGAGGTGGAGCCTCGCCCGAGGCCGGCGAAGCTCGAGCTCGCCAGCCTCGGGCGAGGTCGAGTTCGCCCGAGGCCGGCGAGCTCGAGCTTCGCCGGCCTCGGGCGAGGCTCCACCTCGCCAGATTCGGCGAGCTCGAGCCTCGCCAGATCGGCGAGGCTCCAGCCTCGCCGGGATCGGGCGAGCCTTGAGGTCGCCGGAATCGGGCGAGCCTCGAGGTCGCCGGAATCGGAGAGGCTCGAGTCTCGCCCGAGGCCGGTGAGCTCAAGCTTCGCAGGCCTCCGGCGAGGTCGTCCCGCCCCGGTGGCCGGTCGCCGTGGCCGACCACCGGCCGAAATAAAAAAAAAAAAGAAAAAGAAAGAAGAGAAAAGAAAAAATAAAAGAAAAAGAGAAAAAAATAATTAAATTTCGATTTTTTTTAAACATTTTTGTAAAAAGGGAGAGAGTGTGTAGATGGATCTAGTACTTAACCCATTTACTAGACTAGTAGGTGGGTTGGACAAGGGTTTCAAACTCAACCCATTTAGACCCATTTATCTTTAAGCTTTAAAATTTAAAACCCATTTAAGGTTGACTCTTTAAAATTAAAGTGACCCATTTATTTTTAAATGGGTCATATATGGGTTTAAGACCCATTTTGACACCTCTACTTGATAAGATGCTAGACTCGATAATACTAACAATGAAACAACAACTTGCAAATGTTGAAATTAAGCTATATCGGAATCTAATCAACGACACAGCTTCAAAGTACGCCAGAATTTAATCAATGACGTAGCTTAAGAAAATATGGCTGGAATCTAATCAATAGCTATACTCTAAGCACAACGCCGGAATCTAATCAACGACGCTGAACTGGTGGCACAACATTGGAATTTAATCAACAATGCTGAACCTGATAAAGACTCTCGTCGGAATTGAATCTACGACAAATAATCTGAAGGCTACGATTAAAACTACTCCTAATGCGTTAAGGATAAAGACTAGATAAAAGATGTATTGTGTTTGTCAAAGAATGTCCCCTCTTCGTTGGAAATCCTTGAATATTTATATAGCAGCTTGATAACTGTTGACCGCACTTCTCCTTGAAAGTCGTTTTCCACTTCCTTACGTTTCGCGTTTTAACCGCTTCCTGATTTATCGACGTTGCTTACGCTCCTTGGGCATCACGTAGTAGCTAATTTTCTTCCACGTGTCTCTTTATTTCTTCCTTGATCTTCACGCCCACGGTCATATCTTTACCTTTTGACACGTGTAAATGAATTTTCCGTCACGTATTACCATGATTCCGTGCAAAGCTCGTAATCTTGGATTTGTCGACGTCACGTGCAAAGCTCGTGATCTTGGATTCGTCGACATCACGTGCAAAGCTCGTGATCTTGGATTTGTCGACGTCACGTGCAAAGCTCGTGATTTTGGATTCGTCGACATCACGTGCAAGGCTCGTGATTTTGAACTCGTCGATGTCACGTGCAAGGCTCGTGATTTTGAACTTGTCGACACCTTTATGACGTATCTTGTCGACAATTACCTTAGGCCTTCTTAATGCCTCTGGGTCTAACTTGCGGCCTTTTTGGATTTTCGCTATGTGGGCCGTACTTTATATTTTCTGTAACTTGTAAACGGCCCACTCTCACCAGGGATAATTTTGGGTGTCAACAAAGACAACGACCGTTGCATACTGGCTGTGTTTTAGACATACCCTGTCTAATACTGTGAATCTTTTTTATGTTCGATCTATCTCGATACGTGATATCCAGCACGCCGTTCTCGCATCAGATTATCTCCTCAGTTCAATTGAAAACGGGTCACGCATACTTTTCTCATCATTAGGGATGACGAAACTCCGACATTTTTCAAAACTTGAAGCCTACTCAATAGATCCGGAACTTAGTATGACGATCTAGGATCGACTCCGGCCAAAGAAAAAATGAAGAGTAAAGGTTACCGATCATGACCAAAAATAGTTTTTTTTATCAGTTATTAGAACTGAAATTTCAAGAAATACAGAGTGAAAGTATGATTCCTTGCTTCTTTTTTTCTAATTTTTTTTGTTCCTCAATTATTAAATTCATCATATCGTACTAATCACATTGGTCAATACAGTTAACAACTCAATTATTAGTAGGCTTGACTTGATCAGAAACAGTTAGCTCCTAGCCGCTTCTTTCAAAACCGATCAAAAGACCAAATCCACGTCCATGGACTAAAAACATGGGTTGCCTTTAAACCTTCTTCAATTTAGCCACTCTCCCATATTATATTATAAACCTCAAAAAAAAAAACCAACAAAAAAAGGCAAAGCATATTATAAATTACGTCACTAATAATTGTTATCGGTTGTGCTTCGATTTCGGACCGCTCGATGCACTAAATTACCATCCTTTTCTTCAGCAATTGAGGCACTTTGAAGCGATGGGAAGGTGGCTAATCTTTTCACGTGTCCCGTCATGTTGTGTTACTTCCACCTGAGTGGAAATTAGGTACATTTTTTCGATCGAACCGCTTTGATCAACAAAACTTAAAAGCATAACGCCTTGATCAACTGAAGTGGGACTCCATTTAAAAAAAAATTCTAGCGAAGATTAATGAGCAGCAATAAAATTTACTCGGCTACTTTTTTAAATAAATCTCAGAATACCCGAGTTAATAATCTTAGATCCAAACCAAGTTCTTACACATATATATATTTTAATTTTTTCGATCCAACAGAATCATCAATAAATCGGTACATGTAATATTTTCTCATCCCCAAGTGAACCTCCCATAAGTTTCTGCCCGTATACGTCGCAAATCTTGGCTCGGCCTCCCCCTGATTTCGGAGAAACTGTTGCCTGCGCCCGGGAACACGTGAGCTCGGCTCGTGACAACCGGGAGATCATGCGAATCCAACGCGAAGTTCATCTCGACCGACGGTGGATGGCGATCCGGGCTCACGTGGTCCAGGTTCTTCTAACGATCGTTCCTGAATTTTGACCCCGAGCTGGTCAAACAGATCTGCTGCCGCGTCTCTATCTTCCTCCGTCTATCCCCGAGGAGAGACATGCTCATCACTCCTTTCTCTCCGCCGGCGGCAAACCCCCGGTATAAATACGCAACGCAGAGACACGCTCTTCCTCATCGCCAACGTGAGAAACTCTTCCACATTTGTCCGAAACCATGGCTGCTCCGTCGTCGTCTCCTCCTCCTCCTCCTCCTTTCATCCTCGCCGCCGCCGCCCTCCTCCTCGTCCTGTCCCAACTCTCCGCCCCGTCCTCCGCCGGCGCCGCCCACCCGAGGATGCTGTCCCTGGTCACGACACCGCCCCTCGTCCTCACGTACCACAAGGGCCAGCTCCTCAAGGGCAACGTCACCGTCAACCTCCTCTGGTACGGCCGCTTCTCCCCCCGCCAGCTCTCCATCGTCGCCGAGTTCTTCCGCTCCCTCAGCAGCCCAGCCAAGCCTTCCCCGTCCGTCGCCTCCTGGTGGTCCACCACCGCCGCGTACGCCGGCGGCCCCGCCCACATCGTCTTGGGGAAGCAGCTCGTCGACGGCGAGTACTCCCGGGGCAAAGCGCTGAAGAACCAAGACATCGTGAGCCTGTCCGCCAAGCTCGCCAGCGCCAAGCCTAGTGGCGGCAATGCCGTCAACTTTGTGTTGACCTCGTCGGATGTTGGCGTCGAGGATTTCTGCATGAACAGCTGCGGGTTGCACGGGTGGTCAACCACGGCCCCGGGCGGCAAGGGCGCCAAGTTCACGTACGCGTGGGTCGGCAACTCGGTGTCCCAGTGCCCTGGCCAGTGCGCGTGGCCTTTCCACCAGCCGATCTACGGGCCTCAGATGCCTCCCCTCGTGGCCCCGAGCGGGGACATCGGGGTCGACGGGATGATCATCAACTTGGCTACGGTCCTGGCGGGGACCGTCACGAACCCGTTCGACACGGGGTATTTCCAGGGCCCGAGCGACGTGCCCCTCGAGGCCGTGACCGCGTGCACGGGGATATTCGGGGCCGGCGCGTTCCCCGGCTATCCTGGGGTCGTCCTGGTGGACAAGACAAATGGAGCGAGCTACAACGCGATTGGCTTGGGTGGACGGAAATTTCTGCTGCCGGCGATGTGGAACCCCAAGACGTCTACTTGCAAGACGGCCGTGTAGAGCAGCAACCGAGCAATACACAAACACGAGGAGTACTTCCATTTTCATACGTGTATAGTGCACACGTGGGGTTATATCACTATACGTCTTGCTTCTATTTTTGGGGCTTTAAATTATGTTGTTGAAATACAATATTTCGGAATTTGTGGATTACTTTGATCCGTGGCTATTGCAGATCGCCTGAATAACGCGATTTCATTGTAACGATTGAACGTCAATGCATGTCAAACATCTCTCTCGTTTCTCTTCCAAGACTCGTTTAGCTATGACCGGAGTTGTGCTGGAATGTTTCCATAATTCATCCGCATACTTGTCGAAAAAGTTTGGTGCCGATGAAGATCCTCATAGAATAAAGAAGGATGGCGAATCAAGTCTTCATCCGTGGAGTTCAGAAACATGGAGACTCTGGAGTTTCTACAAGCAAAGTTTTTGGACGTGCAAAGAACTTTTGTGGAATCCTGTTGGCCGCTTGGAATATCCAAGAAAGAAATATGCAGCATCGCAACACTTGGCATTGACTCATTCATTTCCTTGTTCATTCTTCCAAGCCATGCGAAGCACTACTTCGTTTTCGACCGAATTAGTCCAAATCGGCTAGAGTACCTTCACCTTGTGTGAAAATGTCACTCAAAACCCTAAAAAACTCTCTCTCTCTTTAAACCCTGAAAAACTCTCTCTCTCTCTCTCTCTCTCTCTCTCTCTCTCTCCAATCTAAGGTCACAACCCTAGATCGACTGTAATTGCGCTCGATGATGACCAGGTTGCGAATCAAGTCGAGAGAGAGATTCATAGCAAAAGAAAGGGCGAGCAAGATAATCATATCGTCCATTCATTTTTACTTGGAATGGTTATCCATGTAATGTCATTTACCCAATTGGAGCCTATTCATATAAATATTTTTATATAGTCCATCAGAAAAATCATTTCTTATTATAGTTGTGGCCGCCTTGTTACCTAAACGTGACAGACATATTGTAGCTAAATAAAAGTCCATGTTTGGTCTCTAAACTTGCATGGTTTTCCGAAGCAAGGTGTTGAACATTTAATGTGCTTAATCAAGTCCCTGAACTTGCATAATCTTTACAGTTAAGTTTTTTGGACTTAGAATCTAGTTAATTAAAGCTAACGTATCCGTCAAAGCTGATAAGAAACATGGAATCTTTTTTTGTCATCTGGGCGATCATCTGATGCTAGGGGTGAGCGATCGAATCAGTTCACAAGGGGACCTATCCGATTCCTGATTTCAAAAATTAGGAACCAACCTTGACCAGTTCGATTCCCGGTTTCATAACCCGAATCGACCGATTCTACCCAGGCCTGTAAACTAGAATCAGCAATGATAGAATCTAGAGCTAAACTGGTTTTGAATCGGTTTATGCCTAACTCAAAGTGAGTTCTTTTACTCTTTCTTAAAATAGAATATATTTGCTAAAGCTGAATATATTTGACATGTTATTGTCAAGCATAAAAGAATTGTATTCATATTTGATACATATATATCGTAAATATAATAAATGATCAAAATGAAAAGGAAAAAGAAAAAGAAAAGCCCCCTCTAGGCACGAGTTGACCTTGGAACCGGCCTTGAATCGGCAGGTTCAATTCCAGGCCGATTCCAAGGTCAACCATGTTGGTTCTTGGTTCAAAAAATAGGGAACCGACTTTAACAAGATAAGTTCTAGGTTACAGGTTTGAAACCTATTCATCCTGAAACCAATCATTCCCAGCCGATGCATGGACTAAAGACTTTAAACTCGAATGCCACAATCAAATCACGCGTGATGGGATTTCTCAACATGAGCATTGAAAATTCGAGGTTTTTAAAACAAAATTCTTACCATCTCCAGAGACACATTAGCTCCAATCAAGCGACTTTGGAGAAAATTGCTACGCAATTTCAAGGGCTTAATTAGATAAATTAAATATTTAAGGACGTCATTGGAAATATGCGAAAGTTCAAGGACGAAGACTAAAAGTGGATATTTTACCAATATCTCTGATAATCTAAATCACAAACCAAAATCAATGGGCCTCGAAACATCGAAATAAGCCCAGACGAATCTCGAGTTGGACTTTCGTCCTATGTCGTCAATTAGGCCCAAGCATAAGCCGAGCATCACGACCGTCGCTTAGTCGGAACTCATCAACCAAAGTAGGACCATCCAACGCCCTCAGTCGTTCTCCATTGTTAAATCACCGCCGTTCACGTTCACGAAAAGCTCACGCTGGCGAAATCCCCACCGTTCGCGTCTTCGAAACGCCTACAAATTTCTTTTTTTTTCCTCCTCCTCCGTCTTCGAAAATCGATAAACCACCGCGTTCCGCCTTCCCGGTTTCCGTCTCCGCCTTCCGATGGAATCTCACGGCGACTGCCGCTCCCCAAGCTCTCCCCAAGCGCCTACCTCCACCAGCTGCGCCGGCTCCGGCGCCGGCGACGCGCACTCCGCCGCCACCTGCGCCAGATGCGGCGGCCCCACCGCTTACCCTTCCCCCCCGCCCTCCTTCTCCGGCGTCTCCCCGCCGCCGGCCTACCGCCCCATCCGCGCCCCCGCCGTCAACCTGTCGCCGGAATCCCTGTACTCTCAGCAGCAGGCGATCATCCTAGCGCCCGTGCCTCAGTCGCAGAAGGTCCCGATCGTCTCTCCGCCTTATCGGTTCCAAGTCCCGGTCAAGAGGATCCAGTCTCCGGACGATCTCCGCCGGTTCCACGACTCCGACGCCTCCAAGAACTTCCTTGGCTTCGTCGTCGCTCTCTCCGAGTCGATTCGGGGCCGCAAGATCTCGGACTCGTGCCACGAATCGTCCACTGTGTCCGCGATCGTGTCGATTCTCGAGACCCTGGCTCGCTGGATCGAGGAAATTCCTCCGGTCCAGCAAGCCGCGCGTTACGGTAATGTCTCGTACAGGAGTTGGCATGAGCGTTTGGAAGAAACTAGTGAGTCCTTGATGCTTGCATTTCTTCCTGACGATCTGCGATCTGCGACGGTCGAGATTGTACCTTATTTTACTGATAGTTTTGGTAATTCAAGTCGCATTGATTATGGCACTGGGCATGAGACCAATTTTGCTGCGTGGTTGTATTGCTTAGCGAGGATAGGAGTTATTAAGGAAGAAGATTACCCAGCTGTAGTGGCCAGGGTTTTTGTGAAGTATCTAGAGTTGATGAGGAAATTGCAGTTGGTGTACTCTTTGGAGCCTGCGGGTTCACATGGGGTTTGGGGTCTTGATGATTATCATTTCTTGCCTTTCATATTTGGGTCATCGCAGCTGATTGGCCATAAGTATATGAAGCCCAAGTCAATTCACAATGAAGACATATTGGAGAACTTCTCCAATGAGTATATGTATTTCTCTTGCATCGCATTTATTAGGAAGGTGAAGAAGGGATTGTTTGCTGAGCATTCACCGCTGTTGGATGATATCAGTGGAGTGCCTAATTGGAACAAGGTGAATAGTGGGTTGCTGAAGATGTACAAGGCAGAGGTCTTGGAAAAGGTCCCCATTATGCAGCATTTTCTGTTTGGCTGGCTCATTAAGTGGTACTGATTTTGTCCCTGTTCCATTCTATGGTGATATACTCTTTCACTGTGGCGAAATTAGTACATGGGTATTTGTATGATAGGAGAATATTCTTGGTTGAAAGTTTTAACTTCTACTGGAGGATGTGGTGTTGGTATTTATTGATGTTTTAGCTGGTCTTTATATAATTATGTTCCAGTAATCATTTGATATGCATAGGTGACACGTCTGTTCACCATTTGAACAGAGCATATTTACTGCACATCTCACAAAAGTTAGCTTGCCATCTCGGTTCAAACGTCATTTAACGGGTGGTAGGTATTTCCGGATTAAAATGGTGATTTGTGATTTTTTTGGTTATGCTACAAACGGTAATTGATCCTGTTAATTGTAATGTTCGTCAATGTCTTGCACCATAGTGATGCATTCACATGGGAATCTTGGGTCCTGTGCTACTTGAGTCACAGCATAAGCTAGTGATTTTGGGTATTGGACTTTACCATCTAGGGTGCAGCACTTTACTCTGTTACGCTTGCTACTTCACCTGATCATATGAGATCAAGTTATTTTTATTTCTATACACTGATTAAAGATAAAAGCGCGAAATGCCGCAAAAATGATTTGATTTTTGGCCTTGTGATATGTGACTAAAGTTGAAAAACTATCCTGTATGCATGTGTATGCCGGGAACTCTCATGAAGGGCTTCTACACAATTTTTTGTTGAATCTGCACTTCTCACTTCCTTTACTTGCCTTCTTCCTAAACTAATTAATATTTATCTGTACAGCTGTACTTTTACTAGAAGAATCCAATTTATGTGGCTATATAGATATCTGCTGTCCTGCTAGTACAGAGTCTGGCACGAAATATTTTGCTATCACATTCCGTTTTTCAGTTGTGGATATTTAAGTTGAATAGATAAGATACAATGCAATTGCATCCGTTTCAGGAGGACCATATGTTTGTCGAGCATTTTTTACTTTAACATGAAGCAGACTTTGTATCTGACCGTTGATTATTCTTTTTGGCATTCAATGACAATTCATCACATGCATTAAAGATTTCTAAGCCTTGTTCCAGGTGCATGGTTTCTGCCGTGGTTTGAAATAGCTATCAACCTTTTTGAGATATGATCATGTCTGGTCTTTACCCAAGTAGCTGATCAATCTGAACACGAGTTTATCATTTTGGTTTGAATTAAAACCCATGGGGTTGTTGAGATTCTTAGATAGAAAATCTAGTAACTACGAACGATCAGGGTCTCACTTTTTTTTTTGGTCGAAATCAGGGTCTTACTTGGAATTAGAATTTTAACGTAGTGTCTTTCAGAAATCGAAATCTAATTGGTTTAAGTCTTTAATTGAGCTACTACCAATTTTGGATTTTAAAGATTGTCTTTTACTTCGGGTCCCGATTTCAATTGTGCGCAATTTCTTTGAGTTTGTTTTGCTTACTAGTGTCTCATCTAGTTTTCCATTAAACGTCCCTGTTATGTTTAAGCTGCTCCTTTTCAATTTAACACCTGATTATAAGACAAGCACCAAAAAGCCCACGGTAAAGTATCAAATCCCTACGACCAAAAAAAAAGCATCAATTCTATCATTTACGTGTAGCTGTGCTATTTATAAGACCTATGCTGCTTTCATAATGTCTACTGTAGGTGCAATAACATCCAGCTCTTTGCTACTGGTGTAGAAACCGTGCACTCAATTTTTTGTTTCTTTTGCCAGTTCAATTTAATTGACACTGGAAATGAACAAGTGGATATAGAACCTAGCATGGCAGCTTAAAGAGAGTAGTTGAAAAGGTGCATTGATTTGTCTTGAGCATGCATTTCCTTTGGTTGCATGGATTCCTAATTTCCTCGACTTTGACTACCAAGGCAATTCTCTAGTTTGATGATTTTTTCAAGGCATAGGAACTTTTTGTAGAAATGAAAGTGCTTTTCTGTCAGTACCTCAAAAAGTGTTCATTTTCATAATGTGCTTAAGTCTTATATGATCTACATACTAGCAACAAACTATTGTAATTATGTTCTGTTGGTTATGTCAGTAGGCGTGGGATTTTTCATATGCTTAAGACTGAAGAGTGTCAACCGGGGCTTTTTAACTGTTTTTGGTTTCTTTTTTCCCAGGGAGTAGACGTGTGCTTGTCTGCTGGTGCTGCCTGCTGTTCCATAATCTGAAGATATCACTGGTAGTTTGGTTGAGCTGATCCTAGTTTATTCTCTTTACGGCTACTTGGTTAATTAAATGCACGGTTTGGTTATGTTGATTAAGTTGTTCATCGGATTAAATTTTGAGTCTCTGACATGATAACAGAGTAGATGTACAGGAAGTCGTATGGTATGATTGGCAATGGCAGTTTCTCTTTGCAGCTGAGGGGAAAGTAGTTGATAAGTGGACAGCGCGAAGGCAGGTAGTTGTGTTTGAGGTGTGCCAGCTCCACCAGTCGCTGACAATGATAACCATGGAAATCTGTGACTCCGAGGTTGGTCCCAATCTTAGACTTGCTAGCATGCTTTGTGTTCATAATCCTGGATGTTAAGGTTATCAAATGTTTTTTTTTTTTTTGGTCGGAAGGTTATCAAATGTTTGGATAGTGTGATTTGAGATTAGAATTCCCAAATTGCTGGTATTTTTTCTCTCAAAAGTCAATGTTCGCTCGTTTACAACAGCTCGATGCTAAGTTCCTTTCTAGGGAGGAGAGCATTCGGTTTCCACAATGCAAATCTGATAGTGTTATACGTTTCCCCATCCTAGAGCGAAAGCCGGAAAGATAGATCGAGTCTAGCCTCTTGATGGACTTTAGTATTCTAACCTAACTCTGATTGGTGCATTATACTTTATGGACGTCAACCCACCGATCAAAAGACTGGTTGGAGGAAAACATGGCTTCTCTGATATGATTCCCATCTGATAGGTGAAATATGACAGCACCAAAATTGTAATCGCATGCTAACACGTGAATGAAAGAGGAACCTCAAATCCCACGAAAAGAGTTAGCATCCACAGAGAAGAGAGACATGACTTGCCAATCGTAAGCATGGCCTCCACACAACAACCCGTCTACCACTAGCGAATAAGTAATCACGTCGCACGGATGGTAGTCCTTTGAAGTAGTCTCACGTTAAAAGAATAATGATATTCACGAGCATATTTTCGGGACATTTCGTTTTGAAGAGAGGCCTCGGTCGGAAGGGCTCGAGAGAGAGAGAGCCTCGCGTCGCGTCGAGCCTCATGAAAAATCTTAGGGCTATATATCAAGTGTTCCACACAGTCCAAAATCGATCCATATTTATACACTACCGACCCTTGTGGTCATATATATATATATATATATATATATATATATATATATATATATATATATAATGAGAGATTTACCTATGACACATGAAAATGTCTGTACTCAAAAGACCAAAACGTGAAGGGGACGCGCACATGGGGGAAGAAGGGGAACCGCGACACTGAGGCACCATGCTGTTCTCTTTTCCCCTTTGAGAACTTCCTTTGGTCTCGTGACTTCGGGACGGAGCTTTGCGTTACTCGGTCCTCGTGTTTCCATCCCACTGCCGCCCACGCGCACACGCAATCGCATCGAAACTTGCTCATTTCTCGGGTGAACGGTCACCGTCGAGACCTGGTCATTCCAAATCCGCAAACGCAGACTCCATCCTGTAAATCCTTCGCAAATTACGCCGTAAAAGAAAAAGAGAGAGAGAGAAAAGGAGCAGCAAGAAATGAGCCGCGAAATCTTCGGACAGAGTCGAGCGATGAAGAAGAACAGCCTTCCCCATTACCACCACGGTTGAGTTCTTCTTCTTCTTCCCACGAGGTAATTATTAACCCTCGAATTCTTCAAGCCCTTTCTGCGCTCTCTCGCTTTCCTTTTCCTTAAAGATTCTTTTATTCTTGAAACCTGGATTGGAGTTTGACCTACCTCTCTCTCTCTCTCTCTCTCTGGTTAAGCTTGCACGCCACCAACTTGCATTTAAAGCTGTCTTAAATACCAGGTTCGACAGTTCTCGACTCTCTCCATAATAAGACCTGTCCATTTTTGTCCTCCTCCTCCTATTGCGTTCGGGGGTACAGCAACATCCTCCCCCCCCCCACTTTCACTTTTCACAAAAAGTCTTGTTGATATCTCCCCCTCTACTTTTCTGTTCTCTCTTTCTCTCTCTGTCTCACTCACTCTCTTGTTGTTACTCTTGTTCTTCTGCTTGTTTGCTGGTGGTTGTAGCGAAAGCTTTTTCGGTAGGTAGGCAAACATCCCCTCCTCTCTCTCTCTCTCTCCCTCCCTCCCTCCCTTTCTCCCTCTCTCTCTCTTACTCTTCCTCTGCTTCTGTGGCGGATAAACCGGCGGGCTTTTTTGGCAGAAAACCCAGAGAAAAAAAAGAACTCAGGCAATTCGAAGGGAGATCTCACTCCTTCTTGGGTACAACTTATCTTTACTCATGCTCGTGTAAAGTTGCTCTCTCTTTTCTTTTTATCCTCTCTTTGTCCCTTCCCCTCTCTCTGCTCATGCTCTGCCCACCGAGAAACCTTGGGCAGAGCAAAAGAAAATGGTGGTAGTTCTCATTTGGGTTTGGTTTGTCGAGCACGGACGTTCTCTTCCCAACTGGGAAGTTTCCGCCCCTCAGCTGAAGTGTAGCTTCCAGCTTCTTGATTTTCAGCTGAGAATGTAAAGTCTGGATTTTTTTTTTTTTTGAAATTCTTTTGGCTTCTCCCTCTCTCTCTGGCCGCTAAAAGCAAGGAGATCCCGGGGGAGAGTTGTTGTGGAGTATTTTATTTCCTTCGTCTCTTGCAGTAGGTTCTCATTTCTTGCTGCGTTACAGACTCTATTGCAATTAGCTTGCTTTTCAAAGTTCTGTATTCCGATAACTGCTAATTTTGGCTAAATCACTTGTTTCAATTATCAAAGCTCGATTATTTTTCAAGTTCCTGATCTCATCGGGTTGTCGCTCAAATTTTCAGGCTCCATTCTTTTTTTCTGTCGTTCGGTCGAGAATTTGACTGAGATGTTTGCAGATGCACATGCTTGTTCTTCTTTAGTTGTTCTAGTTGTGATTTGAGCGAGTGAGCGAGTGAAATCCCTTTTAAGAAAGTTTCACTCCCACACTGGAATTGTTCACCCTTTTTTTTGTAAATCTTTTGTGTTTGTTAAACTCTGTCTCTGTCCTGTTTTCCCCTATTCCCTTCTGATGAATGAGCGAAGTTATGGAATCTCTGTGCTGTTCATTTGCTTCTGCCCTTATGTTGCCATTTCTTGAATTTGAAGGTTGAACTTTGTGTGTGCATTTTCGCGTATTGTTGTGAAAGACTCAATTTTGAGGTGCTTCTTGCAATCCGTTCATGATGTAGGGTCCAGGATAGATGGAGGAGGCAAGTGATTATCGGCGATGGGACGAATTAATACCCGACGCATTGGGATTAATCTTTAAGAATCTGTCTCTCTATGAGATACTGACCGTGATTCCTAGAGTGTGCAAATCTTGGGGAAAGGCGGTGGTTGGACCTTATTGCTGGCAAGAGATAGACATTGACGATTGGAGTAAGGAATGTTGCTTTCCTCGCGACATCGATCGTATGCTCCAGATGCTAATCACGAGAAGCGCGGGATCGCTCAGAAAGCTCAGTGTGTCAGGCACCGGTCTCCATGATGATGGAATTTTCTCATTTATCGCTGATCAGTAAGCAAAACCAATCCTTTATTCTGTAGTCTACGAATCATCCTTATTCAGACTTTACTGGTACGTGAAAAGAAGATCTAGGAACAGATGGGTTGCTGTTCTAGATAGGGAAAACTACGGCGATGCTTAATCCTAATTTATAGCATACTTCCATTTTCCTAAGTCCTACATCAAAGACTACCGTTGCAGTCGCATTAAATGATGATGCACTTTGGGGATTTAGATGATTTCAAAGTAAATCCCGCATCAAACATCGCTAAAGGAAAGCATTTTTTATGTCCCCTTTTATGATAAGAAATTCAGGATGAACTTATATTGAAGAACTTGTGATCAATAGCTAGAGTTCATGAATTGTAACGTGTCCTTTCTTTTCCTTGTTGATGTTGCTAGTGCTGGTTCGGTCCACACGATGCGATTGCCTCGTAGCGAAATAACAGATCCAATAGTAGAAAGCATAGCAGGAAGGCTTTCCACGCTGAGTTTCTTGGACCTAAGCTACTGCAACAGGATTGGTGCTCATGCCCTCGAAGCCATTGGGAAGAACTGCAAAATGCTTCTTGGTTTGTGCCGGAACATGCATCCAGTAGATACTGCTGGCAAGTCCTCATTGGATGACGAGGCTCATGCCATCGCCTTCACCATGTCCAAGCTCAGACGCCTCGAGATGTCTTACCACCTCGTGAGCACCCAGAGCGTTCTCGAGATTATATATAATTGTCCGGAGCTAGAATTTCTAGATTTGCGGGGTTGCCACCATGCAGAACTCGATGAGAAGTTCCTCAAAGAAAGGTATCCCAAATTGAAGGTTCTGGGGCCTGATGTTGTGGACGAGTACGAGAGGAATGAGTGGGAGGATTACTCCGATTTTTCTGATTTCTCCGAGTATTTGGCATGGGAATTTGTGGCCGGAGAAGTTGGAGATTACTATGACAACGAGAGCTTGGATGAGATGTGGGACGATGAAGGGAGGTTGGAAGACCTTGAGCTGAGGTTCTATGAAGGAATTGAAGATGCAGGACTTTATGGTTGGCCCCCATCTCCTTGATCTTATGTTTATATGTATGAACCCCTTTTCGTATTTGTTGTTTACTGCATTATCGATATGCTCTTAGTACTGCTACATGATCCATCTACGATGTATGTACATGCTTCTGCAAACTGGTATGTATTTCCTTCTGGAATGAATATGAAATAGGAATGAATACCTAGCCTATGTCCGATGTCATTGCTGACCCAAGGGTTCGATCTTATGACTCGGCCTGCCAGAGCAGAAGTAAATTTGAAAATCATTCCCCTATGTTTGGTTATCAATGAGTGTGCAAGCTTTTGTAGTGCCCTATTTTCGATAGTGAGCAACTGATGGTGTGCTTAGTGTACTTATTGAGTCGCTGTGTTTGCTATAACCATTCTCCAAGATGCTATTTGTAGTTTCATATTGGTATTTAACGAGTAGGAAAAAACATTCAGAGACTCTCAATCCGTTTTTAAATGTAGAATAGATTTCTCCACGTTTTGATTTTCCGCGTAACTGTTTCCCCATATTTCTCACCGTCTCCATGAATTCACTCGACACCCTCAAATGGTTCATTGAGTATGAGAATGGTTTATGGTCTGTTTATTCCAGGGCGCGCGAACCCTATATAGCTGAACTTTCAGATATGACTCAATAGCATAGGTTGCTGGGGGACTAGTGGGACTAGACAAGTGCATTGAGTCCTTACACTAGTCTTTGTTGATGTGACTTTTTCGCCGAACTTGTAATGCGGATGTGCATCCCCCCTGTGCTTGATCTGTCCTCTTTAAGTTCAAGAGCTTACCAAGCTGTTGATTATTCAACTGAATGTGAAAACCCAGAGCATAGGAGTTCCATTTCTTAAGTATGCAAGTTTGTCTATAGCTGAGACTGGGGACTAGATCCCATCCAATTGGTACCAGAGCAGATGATTAGCCATAATTCACCTGAGACAGAGGAGTTGGTTGGGACAATCTCTCGTCTCTACTAACCTAAATTTTCGCAGATAATGTTCTTTCAAGATGTTCCTGTTCATGGTTGATGAGCAGACGAGCGTCTTCTTTGTCCTTTGATGTATTGCATACACAACTTGGCTCTGAAGTCACATGATATACATGTGATTCATGACTTGGGATCCTGCAATCTTGCAGTTCATAGAGCGTGTTAAGACAAGATTTTTGTGTTTGGCCGCTCAAGAGATAAGATAATCCAATCTTGAACCTGGTGCGGCACGTGCTCTGTTTAAATCTCAGCATAAAAAAACTATAAGAAAAAGAGGAACACGGAGAAAAGTTTAAGGCAGGCATCATCGGTTCTTGGATTTCTTTGCCGTAACGGTGTGATTGATGAAGTACAATACCTTGTCTGCTCTTATTTACTTTTCGCTTAGACTAGTGGATGCAACAGCAATAGTTTAGGATTTACAGAGATTGAAGGACATTGAAGTTGTCCGAGTATATTGAGCTATAGATCTTCGCCATTGCCAATATCTAGTAGCTACCAGCTATCACGAAGGACGTTAGATTTTATTCTTTAAAATCGACCCTGGTCCGCGCGGGTCTATGTTTGTTCGTACTGGCCTGACTACCATTATATTGTTGATCCAACAGTGCTGCAATCAATGATCACTAAACTCTCGTCACTCATCGACCGCCGCCACTATCAATCACTCGCCGCAGCTGCCATCACTATTCACTTGGTGATTTTCAACATGACCAACCTAGCCACCTTTGTTAGGATGACGAACTCGAGCAGCTCCAACACAAATGCCCAAAGTAAATAGTTACTAACAAGGCCTGTGAGTGGCTCAAGCTGCGCGGTTCGAATACATCAGACTCGACATCAACTTGATTCAGTACTCAAGCTACTCAGAACAATTTGCAACCGATGAAAACGGAGCCCATCTTGTTCAGCTCCTAACACAATGCATACCTTCATCATTTTCATTCACAAGTCATCGCTACCAAACCAATCTTCTGCTGCCCCAAACTACATCGCTATTAGATATGCTGTCTCAAAAATATTTGAGAACTTTTTGCTTTTGCCTTGACATGTGATTTAAGAAGTCAATGGATGGTCCCCCTTTCTCCCCAAGAACAAACAGGAACACACGTTGCCTCCTGGTAGTGCACTCGTGGATCATCCAGCAGGGGGAAAGAAACAGGGTCGAGTGAATTAAAAGCATGCGCACAGTTCAAAATGCCAAAATATCAAGCATGTCCAAAGGTGGGCCCACTTGCGACATCGTGTCAGTGGTCCATTGGATCCGAATCCGGATCCAGGCAAATAATTCCCAATGCACACCCTTTTACAGATCAAAATGCAAGTACAATTATTGATGGGAAGATTCGCAAGCCCAGCCTTTTTTCTTCCTTTCTCATTGAGTAATTTTGGGTGGGGGCAATCAGGAATTTGGATGCATTGTAATTTGGAAGTTGCAACTTGATTTCCCGAGCACCCGTGAATTGGTTGACTAGTGTCAGTGTTGGGTATTCTATGGATTTTCGAGAAATTGATTAGTCACGACAAGTCATGCTCGAATTCATCTCGTCGAGAAGGTTGATAAACTCTGTTTGGACTTTATAATTCCCCCCTTCCCTACAAGGATGATGACGAGAAAACTAGAGGAATTGTTGGGCATGCTGGACGAGTTCATACTCAACTACCAACTGGAGAAAGGACTTGATGGTAAAAGCTGCTGCTTTCTTAGTGGATTACAAAAGAACATCGTCTGATGAGCAGATCTCTCTACATTTCTCCTGACTGGACCACCATTACTGCCTCAACCTTTTTACCTGCTGGTGCACGAGGTCGCCTATTTGAACTCTCTTTCACTTTCCTTTGAAATATAGTTATCCGTCTGTATCTCCCCGTAAATCGTATGTTTCTAACAAATCTCTTCCAAAAGATGTGAGACAGTTTGTAAGAAATTTTCATAGTCTATGCATCTTGTAAGAAGTTCCAGGGTTAAGTTTTTTATGCTCGTGACATGTAGTTTTTAAGTTCATGTCAGCAAGAAGCTGAGTAGCGAGACCGATTCAGTGGGATAGGTAAGAAAACTGAAGGACACGGTAGAGGCGAGAATAGAATCCTGAAAACATGTGTCCACTGACTTGAACGAGAAATTTTCATGGCTGGTGGGTGCTCTCACGTGTCTGCGGCCTGCCAATCGTTTTAGCCCAGCACCCACCCTCATGTCAACGTTACCTCGTCATTTCCACATCTTAAAGCTCACTAAACTTCCGACTGTGCTTTTTTTTCTTTTATGAATGCAAATTAGCGACTTTTGATCAATTGTAACTTAGTTTGAGCTGGACTAGCAGTTGCAGCATCTATCCTGGACAAATTAGCAGCTTAGGAAACAGACTACTTCTAGCCTTCCTTCGTCGTAACACTGGTTTATTGCTTGTATAGGCTGAAGTGAGAGCCTTCTTCGATGTGCATGAGCAAGAAGAAGGTAGCCACCCCAGGAGGCGGACGTTTAGAGATGACTGGTCAGAACGTGACAGAGTGCATTGGTGGCTCGCGAAACCGTGACATTTGACAACCTGAGTTCGCATTACGGCACCCGCTGTGACCGTAGGCTCAATGCCTCTCAATCCCTTGAGCTTGCTTTCATTATTGCAGAATGTCTTTGGAAAGGAGGACGAGTTCTCCACTTCCTAGGCCTCTGTAGAATAATCCACCATTTGTTGATGTATACGTTTATATGCTGAATAAAACTTAAAAAAGATGCTGAGATATATCTCAAGAGAGGACCTTAAGTGAGATAAGCTTGAAGAATCAGAACTTATTTTGCTGAATCTCTTCATTCGCGTGCTCCAGGATATAAGAAGGATCTACATTGAAAGTACCATCAGCGCATTTTGATTTTCTGCAAAAGATATCTTTCTTCATGACCATTCTAATTGAACGAGAAACTCGTGCTCCGCTCATCTTACGTGATGTAAAGACTTCCCTTTATAGTGGTGAATTTCCTAATCAAACTCAGAAAGCCAAATACCAACAGACCTGGACAAAGTGCATGCACCCAGCAACCTTGGCCAAATATCAGTGGCCAAAAGGACATTGAAAAAGTATGCAGCTTTCTTTCTTTTATAGCAAACAACTAATCGAAGCTCAAAATATGAAGCATCCATCTGACCAACCAGTCCTCAGTCGAAAAGTCAATTAACAACACAAGGCTAAGCAAGAAAGTAATGCTTTGGAATACAAGGATTAGGTCAAACGAACCAGTGCCAAGATACACTTCCCTGTTTATTGAAAATATAAACCCATGTACCAGAGAAAAAACACTAGTAGGAGTCTTATAGACAAAAAGGCACCAAGGAAAAGAACCTTATCAGGAAAAAATCCATGAATAGAACACCAGCCAAGGCAGATGGAATCAAGCTTTCGTAAGTAAAAAGAACTTCATGATGCGATTATACAAGCCATGTTCCAAATCCAAGAAATCAAAGCTTTTAACACGCAAACCCCCTTCCTTTTGAGGTGAATGAATGACCGCTCGACTTTAGCTCCTTCAGCATTCAATCACTGTCATGCCAAGAGGAAACTGTATTAAAACTCAGTGAAGCAAATCGCCTTACTGCCAAAACCCCCTTTCTATGATGTTTTCTCCAACTTTTAGTGTTGCTTCTCTGCATGTCTTTAAGTGCCAATCTCCACTAAAGGTCGAGCTATGATAGTTTTAGATTTAAAAGTTATCTTACAGAGGAACAATCGCAGGCTAGTGTGGCTGTAATTTCGATGGCACGGCCCTTTCTTGTGCTCTAGTTGTCTTGCTGTTGACGCTGACAAGAAGTCTGAAGAGAACCTGTCTTAAGGTCTTCAATGGAAGATATTCCAGTTCTTTAGGTGTTGAGGAGTCGGTTTGCAGTTAGGCCTAGAGCTCATAGTCCTAGCCCAACATACAATTCAAAATATTAGCGGCGTTTCTAATTATGACGGCTATTACTTGAGATTTTTTGTTGTTTAATGGGCATAGAGTTGCTATTACTTATTAGAGTGAGAGACAAACAAAGGATTTTAAAGGGTACTGGATGCATTTGTGTTGGACAGCATCTTGACAGATGATTTCAATGAGTTTCGCATGATTCAAAAGCTCATATGCGCCGGATGCACGCACATCGCAGCAAAAGCAGCGTCTTCATTGTTGCTTGCGTACGAGGCCGAGGTCTCCTACTTCGTTACAGCTTTTGGACTC